CCCCCTCCTATTCTGTAATACTACTTCTGAGAGGGAGGTTAGAGATTTCTCCAAGAGGGTAATTGACTGTTCTATTGCTCTAATGTCTTCATCTACAGCCATCTGTAAATCTGCATAATATTGGGGTCCCTGTATTAGGGCCGCCGTTCCGGTTCCTATCCCTGCCGCCACCCCTACTCCCAGAAATATTGCTAGGGTCAGAGACACAGGCTCTCTTTTATATCTGCCTGGGTTTTGTTCATAAAACTGTTCTATGGAATCTGCGGGGTGATAAAATACTCGGGGCAGGAGCTTAATCAGGACACAGTAGTCTTGAGAGGTATTAAGGACCATACTAGCTACACAGGGAGTTAACCCAGAGTTACATGCCCACCAAGCTCCTTGTGGAGGTAAGAGATAATAGTTCCCTTCCCCTGTGGGTACAGAAATAGTGGAGTTGCAAAGGTGGGTGTGGGTTGAAGGTGGGTTTCCCAAGCAGAGCCCAGACCCTGAAACCTCGGGGAGGGTTTTCCCTGTGGCATTGATCGGCAGAAGTAGTATTATTGAATGTCTCTTGGATGGCTATTCCTTCATAATAAGGGGGAGCTGCTGCCAAACACAGCCAACAAGATTCAGTCAGGTTTGGGTCTGTCTGTCTAATGGCCTTATACGCTCCTTGAATTAAATTGAACAGTTGATCCCCCGTAAGCAAAACTCTTTGACTCGGGGGGCTGGAAGTCTGTTTTGACAGAATATAGGCAGGGGAAGTGCCAGAAAAAGGGTTGGGGAGGTGCTGTGAGGTGGCTTCAGGTATTGAGGCTAGCAAGGGATTTGGGTAATTGGGGATGGGTTTCTGAATAGGCAGGATGGGGTTGGGACCTATGGCTGTCGGGTAGGAGGAGATATTTCTTTTAATAGTAAAAAGGAGGCCATCATCTACCCGTTCCTTATGTAGTCTAATTCCCCAAGAATACCCCCTGTCCCAATCTGCAGCCTTTTTCCTTGCTGCTGTAAATTCTACCCGGAGGGGGTTGCACCATTTACCTTGACAGGCCTGTTTATGAGTCGTCTTTTACTCTTTAAATTTTTCCTGCAAACAACTGTTCCCGTGAGTATAATTTGTTTTTACAGTGATATAATCCCATGATGAGGATGGGGACCACCAGGTGTCCCCGGTTGTTTCACATCCCCAGTTTTTGCAGTAAAAGTAGGCCCTCCCTCCACACTGGGGGTTAAGATATTTAGCCCTGTGATTGCCTGGCCAAACATAAAAGGTTAATGTATGCAACATGGCCTGGTGTTCACGAGGGCCACATCCTCTCCACGGGTCAAGTCCCAGTCTCCCAGGGGGACTTTCCTTGTCAGGTACCACCTCAGTATTCCAGTTTCCTTCTAAGTCCCAGGGCTCTGGTGCTCCTAAGGCCAATTTACACAAATCTGGATACAGTATAGGCCACCAAGTGCCCTTTGGTGCCATCTTGTGGGTTTCAAACACTACAATACCCATTTGGTTAATTACCCACCAGGTGGTCAGCACAGGGAGATGGGGACTTCCATAACTGGGGACAAGCCTATAAACAAATAGAATTATTAGGAATTTCTGGAGAGTCTTATTTTTAGAGGGTTGGATGTTCTGTGTAGATGCCATTTTCCAGTGTCCTCCTGAGTCGGAGCTCTCTTGACGTGGGAAGTGTGAATCCAAGCTGAGATTCCGTCCACTTTGAGGGCCGTAGGAGTAGTCAGGAGAACTGTGTAGGGTCCTTTCTACCGTGGTTCAAGGGTTTTCACGTTGCCAGTAAACTGCAGCCAAGGGCCTCCAAACCTGGTTCTGGATGATCTGGAGGGCTTGGAGCCTTGTTTTTAAGCTGGGGTTATCAAAAGAAGAGGGCAAGGGGGACAAGGTTACATCGAGTACAGGGGGTGGTCCTCCAAAAAGGATTTCATAGGGGTTAAGCCATGTATAGCAGGACTGTTTCCAGCCTGAAATAAGGCTAGAGGTAGGAGCTGCACCCAGTCTTTAGTGACAGTCTCTAGAGCTAATTTAATTAAGGTCTCTTTAATAGTTTTATTTATTTTTTCTACATGTCCTGAACTTTGGGGTCTGTAAGCACAATGTAATTTCTAATTAATCCCCAATGTTTTGGCCACTCCCTGACTTACCTGGGAGACAAAAGCTGGGCCATTATCAGACCCAATTACCTTGGGCAGTCCAAATCGAGGGAAGATTTCTTCAATCAGCTTCTTCACCACAGTCTGAGCTGTTTCCTTTCTGGTGGGGAAAGCTTCAACCCACCCTGAAAAAGTGTCTATAAACACTAAAAGGTATTTATATTCATATTTTTCCTGGGAGTACCTCAGTAAAATCTACTTCTCAGTCCCTGGTCATGTTCTTCTTTCTCTCTTACCAGATGGGACCTTTGACCTGGTAGCATTCACCAGGGAACATGAGACACAATCTCCCACTACCTTTTGGACTAGTTGATTGAGGCCTGGGAAATAATAAATTTGTTCTTCTCTTCCTAACAGTGTCTTTAGTTTCTTGTATCCTAAGTGTGTCCACTGGTGGAGTTGGGAGATTAACTCAAGGGCCTCCTTTCGGGGCAGTATGATTCGATCCTGATATTTCCACATTTTAGATTCTGGGTCCAAAGTAGCGTTGAGCCTTCGAACGAGTTCCAGATCCTGCTCAGTGTAGGTGAAAGGAGCATCTCCCTCCTTTGTTTGTGCTTCAATTTCAGCCTCCAGGTCCGAATGGGTGTAGAAAATGCAGGTGCCTTCTGCTGCCTGACGTGCAGCTTCATCTGCCATCCGATTGCCTCGAGCAATCGGCCCCTGGTCTCGTTGATGCCCAGGGCAGTGAATTATGCTGACCTGTTTTGGCAAGTACAAGGCTGGTAAAAGGGCCACTATCGCTTCTTTGTTTTTGATGTCCTTACCAGCCGAGGTGAGGAGTCCCCGCCTCCGATAAATTTCCCCATGTATGTGGGCAGTGGCAAATGCATAGCGGCTGTCAGTATAAATGTTGACCTTTTTGCCCTTTGCTAATTTTAGGGCCTGAGTTAGGGCTTCTAATTCAGCTCGCTGGGCTGATGTTCCGGCTGGCAGGGCTTGGGCCCAGATTATTCTTTCCCCATCAACCACCGCCACCCCCGCCTTATGCTCACCGTCTCGTAGAAAGCTGCTCCCATCCGTATACCAAGTGGCATCTGCATCTGTTAGGGGCTGGTCAGTGAGGTCTTCCCTGGTCCCATGTGTCTCTGCAAGTATTTGCTGGCAGTCATGGGGAATCTCAGTGCCTTTCTTGGTGGCTGGTAGCAGCGTGGCAGGGTTCAGGGTGGCAAGGCTACCAAACTTGATCTTTTCTGGATTTAATAGTAGTGCCTGATAATGGGTCACCCTGGCATTTGACAACCATCTGTCAGGAGGCTGTCTGATGATGGACTCCACTGCATGGGGTGTGATAACAGTTAAAGGTGGGCCCATAGTGAGTTTGTCTGAGTCTTTAACCAGGGATGCTATTACCGCCATGATTCTCAAGCATGGGGGCCAGCCAGTGGCCACATTGTCCAGTTTCTTTGAGAGATAAGCTACTGGCCTTTTCCAGGGTCCCAAAGTCTGAGTAAGAACTCCTTTTGCCATCTCTTTATTTTTATCTATATATAAGATGAAAGGTTTTGTCAAGTCTGGTAATCCTAAAGCTGGAGCCGTCAGCAGTGCTCTTTTTATTTTGTCAAAGGCTCTCTGGTGTTCTTCAGTCCAGACAAAAGGAGTCCCATTCTTTGTCAAGGGATATAGAGGAACCGCTATTTCAGCGAAACCCGGTATCCATAATCTACAGAATCCTGCACTTCCCAAGAACTCTCTGAGTCCTCTGGCTGAGGTTGGTGGGGGGATAGAGGCTACTGTCTGTTTCCTGCTTTCTGTCAGCCAACGTTGCCCTCCCTCCAACCTATAGCCCAAATAGTTCACCTGCTGTAGGCAGATCTGGGCTTTCTTTGCTGAGGCCCGGTATCCAAGTTTCCCCAGTCTCAGTAGGAAAGCCTCCATACCTTGCAGACAGCCAGCTTCTGTCTCTGCTGCTAAGAGGAGGTCATCCACATATTGAAGAAGCATAATCTGTGGGTTTCTTACCTGAAAGTCAGCCAGATCATGGTGTAGAGCTTCATCAAACAGAGTAGGGGGATTCTTGAACCCTTGGGGAAGTCGTGTCCAGGTTAGTTGCCCCGATATTCTGGCTTCAGGGTCTTTCCATTCAAAAGCGAAAATGGGCTGCCTAGCCAGGCTCAATTTTAGACAGAAAAATGCATCCTTCAGGTCAAGAACAGTATACCACCTGTGACTGGGAGGCAAGGTACTCAGGAGATTGTAAGGATTTGGAACAGTGGGATATATATCCTCTATTCTCCGATTGACTTCTCTTAAGTCTTGGACTGGTCGGTAGTCATTTGTTCCTGGCTTTCTTACGGGGAGCAGTGGGGTGTTCCAAGGTGACTGACAGGGGCAGAGTACGCCTATTTGTAAGAGTCTTTGAATGTGGGGTCTAATTTCCTCTCGAGCCTCTCTGCTCATAGGGTATTGCTTGATTGAAACCGGGGTTACAGATGGTCTTAGAGTGACCATTATTGGAGGTTGGTTGGATGCCAGTCCCGGGCCTCCTGTCTCAGCCCATGCTGAGGGGAATTTAATTAGCCAATCAGATATACCAGGAGTCCCTGTTATTGGTTCTTCATATAACCGATGTTTATCTTCTAATTGTAGGGTTAATACCTGTAGTGGAGCTTTATTATTTTTTTTAGAGTAGCTCTCTTTTTAGTGAAGTAGATGTGGGCTCCCAGCTTAGAGAGTAAATCTCTCCCAAGAAGGGGATAGGGGCAGTCAGGGACCAACAGGAACGAG